ATGAACAAGAGGCAGCTACAACCGGAACGCAGGTACATCTTCAGATCCAGCTCCCAACGAACATATCAACATCAGCAGCCAGCATCTGCACGCGAGTTGCAGAAGTGTATTATGAGTACAACCGACCCCATGTACTCAATAAGTAACAAACCTAACCTTAGGTTGAAAGTAGTGATGAGCTTGTACCAAGGTTAGAGTCCAACTCCAATAACCAATAATAGTTCATAACAACATAACGCAAGTAATAAAATAAGTAACTCAAAGATAAAATGTTCAGCTTAATCATGATTATTGACAATAGTTCCGCCTCTCAAGTATATCAGTGAAAACCCAAATCGTTCACTGAAGTTGCCAAAAATATGAGTAAGTTTGAAAATAGTAATTTTACCAAAAATCCTTTCAATAATAAATAAGATGTCTCATTTTCTTTCCAGATAGACAGTGTAAAACAAATGCATCACTATACTCATATATCAACATGTGTGAGAAGTCATGAATGACGTGATACCGTACATCATGAGGAAAATATATATTTATGCATGTATATCATGTGTACATGTCAATGCAATGTATCTTAGAGATGAACTCATGTACTCACACTCTCAGAGTATTCAATCACACTTTCTCACACATTCCACTCATCATGCTCAATCACTCGGTACTGTATATGGCCAATCCGACCTAGGGAAGATCCATCCCAAAATATACACATCAACTGATCATTAGTCACTCAGTACCGAGTAGGGCCAATCCAGCCCATGGAGAAGATCCAACTTTAGGTATATAATGCTACGGACAAGATCCATGTCCAGGGAAGATCCATCCCTCAATAATATCAACCGCGCTCACTGGGGGTTGTGCAGACTCCGTAGGGGCTCCTTCAGCCTAATCGCTATCATAAATCAGTATGACAACTGTGGCGTGCAGTTCGATCCCATAACTATCACCCATAATCAATCACTCCACCTCACTTAGTCATCAATCTCTTCAGTCTCTCTCTCACGGGCTCACAGTGTCATAATACTAGCTCGAAAATAATGATATGATGCATCAATAAATAATAGCAGCGATTGAGATATGATATACATATGAATGCGTATGTAATGCAATGAAAACAAATAACCCAACAGTAGAAATGACCTCAATGGGTCCCAACAGAATAAGCATGTAGCCTAGACATGGTTTATAACATGAATCACAGCTCGATAACTCCAATACGTAGAGATTTCATGATTTCAGAAAAGTGTAGGTAACTACACAGTACCACAGGAATAACAGAGTCACAGCTCTCACGGTACACGCCCGTCACCTAGCATGTGCGCCATCTCAGCACCAAACACATAACATGTATATTCAGGGTTCATACCCTCAGCTCCAAGATTAGAAGAGTTACTTACCTCGAACAAGACGAATCCAATGCCGGGCAAGCTAAACAATGCTCCAGAAATTCCATTCTGCGCGTATCAACCTCTGAACGGCTCGAATCTAGTCACAATTAATTTGATTAAGTCCACACAATTTATAGGAATTAATTCTTAGTCGTCAAGTAATAGAGTAGTGAGTAGAGTATCGTTTCCACGAAGACTTATGATTGACTGATTCAAACTCAAATAACTTATTGATTCAAGAGATTTCTCACAAAATATATAAGTGACTAATTTAAACAGTTCACACAAGAAGCTGATCATACAAGGTCAGAGCTCCTCAACAATGTACCCTCAATGGTGTCTTGTGATCAAAACATAGAACTTTGTAGAATTCCTACAATAGAGGAGGTAAAGGCAACGATTTTTGTACTGAGCGGTGAAAGTGCAAGTGGGCTAGATGGTTTCACACGCATTTTCTTTCAAGAATGTTGGGATATAATAGGGGAAGACATACATGAGATGCTGCAACTATTTTATGGAGGAAGTTCCTTACCTAAGTCTATAACCCACACAAACCTTGTCTTGCTACCAAAATAACAACAGGTTCAAACACTTAACGACCTAAGGCCTATTAGATTAAGCAATTTTGTAAATAAAGTTATCTCTAGAGTTGTTCATGATAGAATGGAAAAAATACTGCCTTCTTTGATCTCTTCCAATCAGTCAGGATTCATCAAATGGAGAAGTATATTTGAAAACATTCTGCTAACACAGGAGATTGTTACTGACATAAGATTAAGGGGAAAACCTGCTAATGTAGTTATCAAACTTGTCATGGCAAAGGCTTATGATAGGGTCTCATGGAAGTATCTAATGCATGTTTTGAGGAAAATGGGATTTGCAGAATGCTTCATCAACATGATATGGAATTTAATTTCCAACAACTGGTATTTTGTTCTGATTAATGGTCAAGCATCATGATTCTTTCACTCAACAAGTGGGGTCAAGCAAGGAGATCCTCTCTCTCCAGCCCCGTTCATTCTCTTTTCAGAGGTTCTATCTAGATCGTTGAATAAACTATTTGAAGACACTAGATTCAAGGGCTTTGGGATACCTAAATGGACTGATCCAGTAAATCATTTGGCCTATGCAGACGACACTATAATCTTTTCCTCTGCTGATTCATCTCTTTAAGGAAAATTGTAGAAGTTTTGTCCAAGTATGAGCACACATCAGTCCAAATGATCAATAAGATAAAGAGTTCCTTTTATATGCATTATAGTGTGTCCTCAACAGTGTCCAGCTCGATAGGTACTATCACTGAATTTATAAAGGGTGAATTTCCATTCACCTATCTTGGTTGCCCAATATTCTACACAGGAAGAAGGAAGGATTATTACAATGACCTGATGAAAAATGTAAAGGCAAAACTGCACTCTTGGAAAGGGAAGCTACTATCCTATGGGGGAAAATCTACATTAATCTCTACTGTCCTACAGAGCATGCCAATGCACAACCTTTCTGTCATTGACCCTCCTAACAATGTAATTGAACAACTTCATAAAGCCTTTGTAAGATTCTTCTGGAGTACCAAGGAAGAAGGTAGGAGTAGACATTGGACAAAATGGCAAATTCTATGCCTACCAAAGGAAGAAGGGGGTGTAGGTTTTAAATCACATCATGATGTATCAAAAGCTTTATTTGCCAAATTCTGGTGGAAGTTTAGGACATCCAATTCCTTATGGTCTAACTTTATGTGGAACAAGTACTGTAAAAAGGAAATCCCGACAACTGTCCAATTTAGACAAGGATCTCATGTATGGAGGAAAATGTTAGAGGCTAGGGAAGAGGTGGAGCATGAAATACTACGGGAAATGAATAGGGGTTCTACTAATGTTTGGCATGAGAATTGGACTGATCTAGGAGCTCTATACCATATTGTTCCAAATGACTATACAATCAATGAAGATATGCAGGAAGTAGCTGAATTGAGAGTGGATGATACATGGGATGAGCAACTTCTAGCGCAATCTTTCCCTGCGAACAATGCTCAACATATCAGGCAAGAAGTCATATTTGGCACTACTGACGATTCCTAGGATGTTCCTAGATGGATGCCTTCACCCTCAGAAAATTTCTCTGTTAGTAGTGCTTGGAATATTTTGAGGCATAGAGATCATGTAAATCCTGACTACAATAAGATATGGACTAAAGGTCTACCTTTTAAAATCTCATTCTTCTTATAGAGATTGTGGAAGTTGAAGATTCCTACTGATGATTTGTGGAGAAGAAGTGGGTATTTGGTAGTGTCTAAGTGTTGGTGTAGTTCACAACCGCAAGAAGAGACTTTTCAACACTTGTTCCTAATTAGTGAAACTGCAACTAGAGTATAGAGAAACTTCCTTCAAGCACCAGGTTTAGTGGTCAATATAGTACAGGTGCATCAAGTAATAAGAACATGGTGAAATGCAAAGTGCTGTCCTAAATCAATGCCATTATATCAGGCAGCTCCAGCTGTAATCACATGGGAACTTTGGAAGAGGATGAATACGATGAAGTATAGTGGTGCAATTTCTTGCAATAGGGTGATTCATGAAGTGAATAAGACTTTACATTATCTAGCAAGTATGAGGTACCCATGGCTGTCCAGAATTCCTCCTCTATGGTCAGATATGATCAGCTTCTTTGAAGGCTACAAGCCATATGTGGGGAGTAAGATAGTTACACGGCAGCTTCCTTATGAAGGGTGCTTCAAATGCAATACTTATGGTGCATCAAGAGGCAGTCCTGGTCCAAGATCATATGGGTTTTGTGTTCGAGATCATGCTAGCGATTTGGTGTTTGCGAAAGCATAGGAGATAGGAGAGATAACTAACTTAGTGGCAGAAGCAAAGGCAATTGTGGAGGGGTTGGCATACTGTGTGGAAAGGCAGCTACATCTACTGCTTATGGAGACTGATTCCTTAGTAATGACAAAGATAATTGATGGCGAATGGGTAACTCCTTGGTGTATAGGTGCTGAAGTACGGAAGATTAAGCATATAAAGAACAACTACAATGTTGTCTTTCAGCATCTACTAAGGGAAGGGAACAGTGTTGCTGACTTTTTTGCTAACCTAGCTTTCACTTTTGCAGGTACACACACATTTCAGTCATATAATGAATTGCCAAGTGCAGGAAAAAAACTGATCAACATGGACAAATCACAAATTCTTAACCTTCGAATTAGGATTGTGAAGAGAAGAGAACATGATTAATGAGATCAACATATAAAACCTTGCCTTGTTTCTTAGAAATTATGGTCTCTTAACAATACAGGCAAGATCTCAAAGAAAAGTAGGCTAGTAAATCTCCACAAACTAGCATTCCTAATCATGCAGTTGTTCTCACTTGTATGGTGTGCATACTTAGTTGGTTATAATTATAGCTAGCATTGCACAACACCAGACTATAGGGGATCTGTTGCAACCTCCTGTAAATGCTTGGCTGCAGATACCAAAGACCTGCACTGCCTCTGCAAAGTCATATTGGTTTGATTATTATTTTTGTCTCTCTCACTCTACTGGGCTATACACCAGTTGAAGAGTGTAAATGCTTGAGTAGTGTAAGCTAACTGAGGCAATAGCATGGTCAAATTGTTTCTGCACTTCTCCAGGGTTTTAAACAGGTTTCTGTTATGACCATTTTGCTCTCAACAATATATTGGCATGAGGTGTATAACAAATATTGAATCTACAGGTCAAATACATGCCAACTAAAGGGTGTAGATGCAATAATCTGGGAGCACAGACACATTTCATAAACCTATTACTTACATTTTGCAGGATAACAAGATCAGAAAACTGAGGCAAAGACTAGTCTCATACAGATACCAAAGGATGCCATATTTGCTTGGTTATAACTATATTATCTCACTCTACTGGGCTTACATACACAATACTTGAAGGGTGTAGATACCTGAGTAGTGGTGACTATAATATGCCTGGCTACAGCATAATGCTCAACCAGCACTGCTTGTGCATAGAAGACAATCAAGAACTGATTAGTCTTCAGCAGAACCAGTATCACTATGCCAGTTGGAGTTGCCAATACTTAGTGCTATGTGGGAATGACTTGAAGATAACAAACAAGAGAGTCACAATCCAGCACCAACAACATCCATCATCATCACCAAAGTTATCAGCACACACAGATCCTGGGAGCACAATTTTACATCCTAACTTGGTTGTTTCATGTTGCAGGTATCAATAACAGGATCAGAAAACCGAGGCAAAGAATAGAGGCTCAACTTGCACTACTTTTGCACAAAGAACAATCACAAAACTAATTGGTCTTCAGCAGAATCAGTACTGTTGTTCAATGTCTGGCTGCTAGTTGAAGTTGCCACTGCCTTTTGCTATGCGGTAATGATTTAAAATGTTTGCTGCTTCCCAAAGGATAACAAGATCAGAAAACTGAGGCAAAGACTAGTTTCATACAGATATCAAAGGATGCCATATTTGTTTGGTTATAGCTGTCTTCTCTCACTCTACTGGGCTTACATACACAATGCTTGAAGGGTGTAGATACCTAAGTAATGGTGACTGTGGCATGCCTGGCTACAACAGAATGCTCAATCAGCACTGCTTCTACAGAGAAGACAATCAAGAATTGATTAGTCTTCAGCAGAACTAGTATTACTATGCCAGTTGGAGTTGCCAATACTTAGTGCTACTTGAAGATAACCAACAAGAGATTCACAATCCAGCACCAACAACAACCCTCATTAATCAAAGTTATCAGCACACACAGATCCTGGAAAACACAATTTTGCATCCTAACTTGGTTGCTTCATGTTGCAGATATCAATAACGGGATCAGAAAACTAAGGCAAAAAATAGAGGCTCAACCTACACTATTTTTGCACAGAAGTCTATCACAAAACTGATTGGTCTTCAGCAGAATCAGTACTGCTGTTGCAATGTCTGTATGCTAGTTGAAGTTGCCACTACCTTTTGTTATGTGGGAATGATTTAAAGATAACCAACAAGAGAATCACAAACAAGCACCAACAACAGCCTTTCTTCACCACTCACCACCCAGTCATCTTCAAAGTTCTCAACACATACAGGAACTTGGGAGCACAACACTACATCCTAACTTGTTTGCTTTATCTTGCAGATTTCATAGACAGGATAAGACTGCTTTGGCAAGTATACAGAGGGGTGTTGACAGTACAAATAATCAGTAGAACACTGGTTCAACACAACATATGTTTGCTGCTCCTCTGAAAACTCTTAATGCCTATTGGTGCTAGCATCAACTACCAGAGGTATTAGCATATTGCAATGCTCATTATGGGAGTCTCTCAGCACATTACAACAACCAAATTTCAGCAACATAGATGACAACACAATCATGCTATACAGATCATTTTCAATTTGATTGAAGTGGTCAGCAATTTGCTGTACATACACAGAAATAACACAGATATCAGTACAAGTCAGGATCAGAAAAATGGAAGCTATCCTGCTATACATCACAAGCAATTTGACTTGGACATCAATCAGATGCACATACACAGACAGTTATCACATGGCCTAAGCTTGACTATTGTGTATTACTTGTGTGATGTTAGACCATCTCTCAGTGGTATTAGCATGTTAGCATGCTTAGTCTGGGGGGTGGTGTAACACCATACAGAACCATGAAGTCAAGCAGCCATCTCATAGATACGGATTATACTAAATGTGATTGCATTTATACACACGATATGGCTGCATATGAACAACCTCTTTGTGTATGATTTATTGGGACTGGTATATCAAACTGAGGATACCTACACACATGAAATACAAGGAAAACTGCTGCTTATATCTATTTTTTGGTATTGACAATATAGTGTCATATCATTATCCAGTGGTATTAGTGTGCATGCATGCTCAATCTGGAGATGAAAAGACACTATATTGTCTTCATGTATCAAGCTAGCAGCTCCGTCTCTAGTAAGCTTTCATCTCAAATTCATGCTCAATTTATCAACAATGATGCTGGAATTTTAAGCCCCAAGAACACAATATCCAAAATGCTTTGCTAGACAACTACTGGATTTAAACATACCTACTTCTTGGATTGCAACAAATGGCGCCTTGTGAGAGCTTTGTAGGTGCTACAACAAATTATTGGCAACAGGTGTGTACATTCAAAACCGTCGGCAATACTTGGATGCTTCAAATTACTAGCCTTGTAGTTTCCATCATTTATTACGTTACTTCTACATTGTTTTGTTTGTAGGTTATTTAAACATTTTGTAATTTTTACCCAGTTGGGGTTTATTATATATAATAGCTACTAGGGTAATAACCTAGTAGTATATTTGCTAAAAAAAAAAAGCTATCAAGCAATGAAATAACTAAAATTCAACCACAACATCTAAGAAATTTTAAATAACAATCAATAGGAGATGATATTCCAGGGTCACAGGTTAGCTAACAATCATGTTGCGTTCTTGGCTTAAAATGACTAATTGATATATCTGGATTGTTGATTGACAGGGTTGATGTTACTCATAAGAATCTGTCGAGTTCTTACTCGCCTTTTCAAGATAACTTAATGTCTATATGTCTATGGAATTAAGATTAACAAGAATGCATTTACACTTCCTGTATTTCAACCAAGCAAGGCAATTAGGTATATTTCTATCCTAATTGCAAATCCGTTACTGATGCCCGGGTTCAAGAACCTAATCTATTTAATTCTATATGCAATCTAGAATTTTTACTTTCGAGTTCAACTCTAGATTCGTAAATAGTATTTCACTGTTAGCTACTCAGAAAAATAATTAAAAATAGAATTAAATAAACAACCCAATATGATAAAATCAAATTCGTCAATTTAAACTTCAAACATCAACATTCATGTATCACCCATGACCCTAGAACAATAAGGTTCTTTGCCACTCATGTTCATACAATCATCAAAAACAATGTTTTCAAACATAAAATCAATGAATACTAGAAGAAGAATGGAAGATTTGATCAAATCCGTGCTCCCGAGTGTTTCGTACTTTTGTTTTTCTCTCAAAATTACGTCCTACTCTTCAAAATAGGTTTAGGTTGGC